TTTATTTGAGAGAGAGAATGAGATAGAGAGAGAGAGCATGAGAGGGGGGAGGGTCAGAGGGAGAAGCAGACTCCCTGCTGAGCAGGGAGCCCAATGCGGGACTCGATCCCGGGACTCCAGGATCATGACCTGAGCCGAAGGCAGTCGCTTAACCAACTGAGCCACCCAGGCGCCCTCTCCAACTAAATTTCTTAAGGGCAGAAACTATTTTGTACACCTCTTGGTATTGTCTTAATGTTTAAAGAAGAGAGCAATTGCCTGCTAAATGTAGAGTTTTTTTTTTTAAAGATTTTATTTATTTATTTGACAGAGAGAGACACAGCAAGAAAGGGAACACAAGCAGGGGGAGGGGGAGAGGGAGAAGCAGGCCCCCCGCCGAGCAGGGAGCCCAATGCGGGGCTGGATCCCAGGACCCTGGGATCATGACCTGAGCCAAAGGCAGACGCTTAACAACTGAGCCACCCAGGCGCCCCTGTAGAGCATTTTTTGAAAGGCAGTCCTGGTTTTCAACCCTGGGGCCTGTGAAAAATCACATGAGACACTAAAAAAAAAATGTCTGGTTCCAACTCCAGGTATTTTGATATCATTAGTTTGGGGTGGGGACTAGGGATCCATATTTGGTTGTTCAATCTCCCCAGATGATCCCAAAGGACAGTCTAGCTTTGGAACATCTCGTATAGTGGTTAAACCCTTGGGTTCTGGAATGTGGACTGCCATAGTTTGAATTCTCTACCTTGCCACTTTCTTGTGAACTATCTTGGTTTCGTTATCTATAAAGTAGGCAAAACAGGATCTACTTCAGGGCTGTTGTGGGGATTTAGTCAATAATGTACAGGGTTTGGAACAGTGCTTATCACATAATCACTCAGTTATTATTGCTGACTTATTTGCTGTGGAGAGTTTTGTTTCTTCTTTTGCTTTTTGCCAACCAACTTTACACCAATGATCTAATCTAAACCAGTACTTTACATTAAATACTGTCCTTGTGGAAGTTGGACTGAAAGGCCCTTCTGTTAAAACACTGGCAGCTGCTAGCTTTAATGACAAGTGACGTGGTCTCCTATCACCAAACTCATCCTATTCACCAATTCATCTAGCGTTTGTTTGTTCGTTTTTTTAATGAAATACTTTCAGTTAACTTATTATTTTTCCATCTAGTGTTATCAGCAAGAGAAAATGAAATGTGGGTAGAATATTAAGGAAGACTCAGAAATCACTTCATTCACCTAATAATTATCAAATTCCTCTTAGTGATATGCCAGGGAGATGGCCCTTTTCTATGTTCCAGGCTGTTCAAATGTTCCACAAAACTTCCTACAAGTTCACTACAAAATTCATGCTCACTTCTAATACCCTCTCAACTCTGCTTAGCATGCCTTTTATTTATTTTTTTTTTTTAATTTTTATTTATTTTTAAAGATGTTATTTGTTTATTCATGAGAGAAAGAGACAGAGAGGCAGAGGGAGAAGCAGGATCCCCGCAGAGCAGGGAGCCAGACGTGGGACTCGATCCCAGGACCCCGGGATCACGAGCCCGTGATTCAAAGGCAGACACTTAGCCAACTGAGCCACCCAGGTGCCTTAGCATGCCTTTTATTATCCCTTTTTAAACTCCCAATCATGTTCTCAAATACCTGTTCACTTCACTTTTTAAAAGTTAATGAACTTTTTTTTTTTTCCGAGATGTTTTAGGTTCACGGCAAAATTAAGTAGAAAGCACTGAGAGTTCTCATATATCTCTCCTTCCCCAAACATGAACAGCCTGTTCCACTATTAACAATTACCCCCACCAGAGTGGTACGTTTGTTACAATCAATGAACCCGCACTGGCACATCATTGTAACCAAAAGTCTCATATTAGGGTTCATTGTTGCTGTTGTACATTCTATGGCTTTTGACAAATGTGTAATGGCACATATCCACTGTTATGCTATCACACAATATTTTCACTGCCCTAAAAATCCTCTGTGTTACACCTATTCCTAACATTCTTTCCCTTAAACTCACTAATCTTTTTTGCCTTTTCCAGAATGTCCAGATTGGCTTCTTTGATTGAGTATACACCCGACCTAAATTTCCTCCATGTCATTTCATGGCTTGATAGCTCATTTCTTTTTAGTGCTGAGTAATATGCCATTCTCTGGAGGTACCACAGTTCATCTATCCATTCACCTACTGGTGAACATCTTGCTGGCTTCCGAGTTTTGGCAATTATTCACTTCTCTTTATGTGTCTTCTACCACCTCCCTCACCTTTCCTTTCTCACTGTTACATCATTAGTTCAAGTCATCCTGACTCTGGACTTTTATCATTAACCTCTTAACTCATTTCTAGAACTTCAATCTCTTTTTCATTCACTTTGCCAGATTCCTTTTTCTAAAGTATAGCTCTCATCATGTCATTACCTCACTCAAACATTTTTAGTGGCACCCCAAATCTACCCGAGTCCAAATTTCTCTAGCTTGAGACATTCAAGTCCCTTACTATATATATATATAGCTTTGAATTGTCTTTCTCTTCTATTACTTACCCCTTTTGTCTAATGGAACTAC